TAACGTCACAAGTGCACAAGAGGATGGGGTGGCCCAGGATCCAGCCCAGCTCGGGCCTGTCGCTTTTCCATTACAAAACCTAGTAAACAAGTTTAGCAGGGTTGTAGGAGAAGGTATCATACACAAATCAACTGCATTCTCACAGACCCGCAATGAAAAATTCAGGGGTAAAACTTGGGGGGAAAAAAATAAAAAACAATTCCATTTGCAAAAGAATCCGAAAGAATCCATTACTTAGAAATAAATTTAGCGAAACAGTGTGTGAGACTTGTGCACTGAAAACAACAGAACAGCACTTACTTAAGGAAGTTAAGTAATTTCTGCATAAATAAAACGGCCCCCTGTGTTCAGGGATTGGAAGACTTACCGTCCTTAAGATGGTGACAGTCCGTAAATTGATCTACAGATCCCATGTAATACTTACTGATTTCCCCCCTGGCTGTTCCGCAGAAATGGAGAGGCTGATCCTCAAATTCATATGAGTCCCAGAACATGCAAAATGATCTTGGAATACAGCATCGGAGGGTAGTTACTACAAAGTTACAGTAACACGGGCTGTGCAGAACTGACCTACAGAGAGACACAGGTCGGTACAATGGAATCAAGAGTCCAGAAGTAACGTCACAGCGTTACGGTAGATTGATCTTTGACAAGCATGCTAAGACAATTTCGTAGCAGAAAGAAGATTCTTTCATCAAATGATGCAAAAATAAAAAAATAAAAAAAGCAAACCTGGGCATTCACATGCCAGAGAAAGGATCTGGACCCCTACCTCTTGCTGAATCCAAACATTAACTCAATATAGACTGAAGACCTGAGAAGAAGAGTTAAACCTAGAAACCTCTTAGAGGAGGCAGGTGGAAATCTGCATAACCTTGGATTGGGCAACAGTTTTTAAATATGACACACACAAAAAAACAAGAAACCAGTAAATGATAAATAAATAAACTGGAATCCCACTTTTGTGCTTCCGCGAGTGCTGTTGGTCAAGAAAGCGGACAGACAACGCACACAGTGGGAGGGGTTTTCTACACACTGTCCCCCTAGCGGGGATCCCGTGTCTAGAATCCATAAACATTGCCACTGAACGATAAAAAGACAAAGCACCCAAATAAAACAGGGGTGAAAGGTTTGACTAGACATTCCCCCCACCCCAGAAGAGGTGCAAATGTTCCAGAAGCATCATTAAGGAAATGCAAATCAAAACCACAAGGAGACACCCCCCCCCATGCCACGGCCTCAGGAGTAATCATTTTTTTCAAGGGAAACGGCAGATGGGGGCGAGGATGAGGGGAGAGGGGGCCCCTCACACGGTGCTGGAGGATGGAAATGGGTGCTGCGGCTGAGGAAGACAGTCTGGCGGTTCCTCAGGAAGTGGAACACGGAGTGACCACGTGACCCCGCCAGGGTGTTCCTCTCTGAGGTCTATACCCAGGAGAAATGGACACATTGCTCACAGCAGCCCAGACGTGGAAACCCCCAATGTCCATCGACTGGACAAACAAACAAAGGCCAGAATGGATCCGAACGATGGAATGTGACTCAGCGGGAAAGAATGTATCGATGCCTGCTGCAACGTGAGCTAGCTTTGGAAAACATCATGCTAGGCAAAAGAAACTAGACACATCCTCTAAGAAAAAGAGCGCATATTGTATGACTCCTTATACGAACTGTTTAAAAGGGGCAAATCCACGGAGACAGAAAGCAGGTCCGTGGGTGGTTGCCAGGGGCTGGGGCAAGGGGGCAGCAAGCCAGAGACTGCAGGGGGGGCCAAGTTCACGGGGGAGGATGATGCGCATGCTCTGGGGTGAGACAGTGGGATGGTTGCCCAACTTTGTGCCTGTACTAAACCCCGCTGAATTATGCACTTAAAAGAGGGGATTTTATGGCATGTGAATTTTATCTTAACTTTTTAAAGTTAAAAAAGAGAGAGAGGGAATTGCCGTTTTCCGTTCTGTCTTGTGAAGAGCCAGGAAGCTGTCACATTTATCTTCACAAGAAGAAATAGGTGGACAGGCTAAAGATCACCGACTTTTCTCTACCCACCAGCCACCTGAGGCCACAGGACAAACCCCCACCCCCAACAGGGAAATTTGCAGACAGTTGAACCCCGAGAGTCGCAGCTGAGCCGTGTGCCTGGTGCCGGCCAAGAGTGGGGGTAGGGTGCCCACTTATGGGGTCGGCTCCACATGGGACCTCGGCTCTTTTCTCAGTCACATCTGATGACCTATGGGATGCCCCTAACCATCTTCTCGGCGCCCCTCCCACCCACCCTTCCTGGCCGTCATGCAGTGTGTGAGGGGCTCAGCCTCCCCCTCCCGCTCCTAACAGCCTGCTCTTGCCCTCACCACATTGTGCTGTGGTCCCAGGTGAGCTCTGGGAGGTCTGCGGTTGGTCTGATGCACTGGTACCTCCAGTGGTCTCCTCCGCGCCCAGACGGGCAGCCACCTCCTGTCAATCACTTTGCATCGTGTGTATAATCCAACAGATGCTCGACACACACCAGCTGTGGTGAGTTCAGTCATTATTCTGGACGGATACAGCTCTACTGCTTGGGCTGTACTCAAAGTGCGGTGGGGGGGGGCGGTCTCCATTTGGGGAAGGCTCTGTTCCGTCCTAACCACCTGGGGGAGGTGGGGCTGTGTGTGTGTGTGCTCTGCCCAGGACCTGCAAACGGACCCAGAGGCCCCCAGGGACATCAGGTGACAGGACAACCTTTCCTGGGAGCCCATTACTGAGACAAGCGGCTCACGTTTGTACACGGCAGGCATCCTTTTGAGGACATACAGGCATCACCTTATGGGACACCAGGTGCAACCAGCTCGCAGGTACCTCCAGCAACCCATTCTGCAGCTGAGGCGGCTGAGGGCCAGCGGGGGAGCGACCCCCAGTAAGAGGCACTCGGGTGCAGCGCTGGGCCCTGCTCTTGGCTGACGAGCCCTTCCGGCCCCCGCCGGAGTCTTCTAACCGCTGGGGGTCCTGCGCACCAGAGCGAGGGCAAAGGGGGCCCACGGGTGCCGAGTTCTGTCCCCATGCACGCACCGGGGATGGGGCGGGGGCGTATGCCCCTGGGGTCCAGCAGCTTTGGGACTGAGGCCGAACTGGCCACACCTGCAGGTTACACACTCCGTTTAGGCTGATTTTAAAAAAACAAAATGCATTTTCAGACAATAAAGACATTAAGGAGAAATCAATGGGGGTTTCTGTCGTGCGCATTGTGGGTGCCTCCCTCAGACCCCCTGGGACCCCTTTTTGGGGGTTCTGTGGCCCACTGCTGCTTGTCCTCTTCCCGACTCCCCCAACTGTGTCCCCTGGGAGACAGCCATGACCCACCCCTGAGGACAGGGGCACGTCTCGGGGTTGACTTCTGGAAAACCCTTACCTAAGGAAGCTTCCTCTCGCAGGCCTTATCAGGGCTCCGGCCAGTCATGGTGTTAAGGATTCTCTGAGGAGGAGGAAAAGTAGGCGGTGTTTTGGGAATCCTTGTAACTCCAGTCCTCCCTCTCTCGGTGAGACCACCGGCCTGCGCAAGTGTGGGCACTGGGGTCCCCGCCCGGAAACGGAGGGGGTAGGGGAAGAGGTCAGAGCGCACTGCGGCTCCCAGCGATACTGGGGCTGTTGCTGAGGGCGGTGGGGGGCAGAAGGACCAAAGAAACACAATAGCCTCCTTCCAAAGAATTGCAAAATTTATTGTTTAAGTATTGCAGCTTTCAGAATGTCGTCATTGCCACGGGTGATTATTGATACACAACAAGCGATTTCGGCAGGCCTGTGGGCTGGAGTCCAAACACAGAGTCTCACGCGGCAGCGACGTGGGCCCCGCCCTCCGCGCGCCAGAGCGCCCACAGTTCCGCAGAACCCGGGAGACAGGGCGGCACTGGCCACGCCCAGCGCACCGCGCGAAAGCGTCGCCGTGGGCACAGCCGCCCCGGAGCCAGGCGGGCAAATGGGAGAGTGGCATCCCCCCTCTCTCTGCTTTGTCATACGGCAACATTTGAAGTGCGGATTCCGGAGAAACACATCTCTTTCCTTATCGTCGGGACGTCTCAGGGCTCTGGAAGCTTTCTGTTGCGCGTAGAAAAGAGAAATATCTGAAACGTACGATTCACAGAGGAGACAGACAAGGGCAGGGACCGACTCGGCGCGGGCCAGCCCTGGGGCTCGCCGGACGGGGAAGAGACGTTATGCTCTGCTCTTTGCCCAAACCTGGGGTGTGCGGAGAACATGGACGGCTCTTAGTGGACTTCGCTAAGTCCATCTGCGTGGGCCCGGGCTTTGCGGGGTGGGGATGGGGTGCAGGGGGATGTGATGATTGGCAAGCAGGAAGACAATAAGCATTAAGAAAGCTGAGCTCTACCACCTTGTCTGAGTCTAATCTGGTCCCCCTCCAACCAGCCATTTGTGAGGATTCCCCAACTCTTGACTGGAAACGGGGGGCCTCCTGCAGGGTGTTTCCAGGCTTTTCAAAGATAATGGCAGGATGGCAGGACGGCAGGACAGCCAATACCTAAAGAGTGTACCTCCCCACCCCACCAACTCTGGGGTCCACAGAGAAACCAAGGGCTTAGCTCCGGGGGTCACTGCCACAGACACACACCACTGGTTTTCTTGAGACGCGCTGGGGCTTTAAGGAGCCACTCCGCCACGTGCCTCTGCCACGGTCCTCTGCTGGCACGAGGCCCGGGGACACCGCAGCATGGTGGCCGGACTCAACGCCGGGGCGTGGTCTGAGGGCTGCACTCTGCCCTCAGGCACCCTGAGGGCAGCCACCCACCCCGGCTTCCTTCTAACTCCTAAAACACAGCAGCTGTGGATGCCACCACCCAGCACCCAGCACCCAGCACCCGGGTTCGGAGTCTGGTTCGAGAGGACCTCGGGGACGCTTGGGACTGGCTTCGCCTGACACCGTTCACAGCAGTGAGCTCCACTCCTAGGTTCTCGACCTAGGGGCATCGGGTGGGCATCGAGCACAGTACTTGACGATGGGAGTGGGGGCTGGAGGGGCGGGACGTGAGAGGGTGACAGGGACGTTTGGAAAGCAGCAGCAGCCCTTTGTGGCCCGGGAGCCGCACGGCCAGTCCTGGGCGAGCCAGGCCCTGTCCAGGACCGCCTGGCCTGGTGACAGGAGAGAGTTAAGTGCTTCCTCGGTAAGGCACTAGGGAGACAGACGCCCCGCGGAAAAACACGTCTTTAAAAAATGTTGTCTATAAATGTGTCCCCGTGCCTTTCAGGACAAGCTAGATGGACTTCTCTGCATGACCTTTCAAAAGAGTCCTCTTTGAGGGAAGCCGATTTCCGGTTGAAGACCCCCCCTCCCCCCAGAGAGGCGGGTTTATGGTGAGGGCAGAAACACCTCCCGCTCCCCGGCTGGCCAGTGGGCCTCAGCTGGCCTTGCATTTGCTGGTCTCTAGGTGCCTGCGATGTGCATATAAATAGAGTTCAAATGGTCGGAACGTCAAAACTGTTCTCGGGGTTTTGCTTCTCAGATAATACAAAAGTTGCTTAAAAACAATAGTTATTGCCTCTTATACCTTTCTCTTATGTTCATGGGCTACTTAGTATTCTGCCAGACAGGAAGACACCTCTGTGGGGTGGGGGCTGGGGGGCTGCTCTCCCGGCTGGGGTGTCACCCACCCCACGGAATATTAGCAAGTCCTCAGGGGGACGAAGGACCTCCTGCTCCAGCCACTGTCCCTGGTAGACGCCCAGGGACCCCCCTCACTCCACTTCCTGTCGTTCACCTCTATGCGCACACAGGTGTGCCCACGCATGCTTCCTCACCTGCGCACCACCGTCAGAGGGGCCTCATCACACCCGAATCCACTCAGGGGGATCCTGGCGAACAAGAGTTGTGTCTTAGAAAGATGCTCAGGGAAACACCCTGAACAGGACCGCTTTGGGAGCAGGGAATGGGGGTGGGGGGGAGGGAGAGAATCCAGCTTCTCAGGCATCACGCAGAGAAGGCTGGACTGCCTTTCTCGCTTCAACCCTTCCGCGTGTCCCGGGAGTGTTTCTTTTTCATCTCTGGTCTTCCGCTTATCGGCCTGTCAAGTGAGAGTCGATACGGAGAGAGAAAGACAGGGACAAGGGCACACGCCTGGCCCTCCGGGCCCTCCCTACGTGCTAGTGGACGGCACTGACCTTGGCCGGCGCGCTCCGGAGCCGCCCGCGCCTTCTGCACAAAGAAGCCGTCGGTAACATACATGGCAATGGGAGCACCGTGGTTTTTTAAAACAAAAAAAAAATAGGAGGAAAACTTAAATTCCTTCAGTAACAGTTTATTTTCATTTGGGGGAGAAGCCAAAGCCACCACCTGGATGGAACTTGGTGCCTCGAACAACTTTCCTATTTCGTGCGAGCCGAAGGCCGTTCTGACCCAGAGGGGGAGAGAGTGTGCCCCCTTCGGGAAGGAATGTGTCATCAGGTGAAATAACCTGTCGCTAGACAAAGCTTCCGCTTCGGAGGAAGGCGGCCCGTCCGGATGCCTCTGTCCAAATTCCGCGGGGAGCCCACCCGCCGCCTGAGGTCGGAGGTCGGCGTTTCTCCCTCACGAGTCTCGACAGACACGATAGAAGTTTCCATCAAACAAGCACTGACATATTTATATTAAAAAATAGTGCAAAAGCTCAACATTTATATAAATAACTCTAAACCCCTGCTTTGTCATTGTTTTCTTTACAAGGTAATGCACACTGTTCTGAGTTGGCACGCAAAAATGGCCATTTTCTCTTCTAGTTCAGAAAACAACTTCTTTTTTTTTTTAATAGGACTCTTCTAATACAAAAATACTCCTGCCCTCGCACATACAGTTTCTCTTACTTTATATATATTTATATATATAATATTGCAGATCTTTAAACAAAGGTTTTGTGCAAATGTCTTTAAAGTTAAGTCATCATCAACAAACAGAAGGGAAGCGTTCACGCAGGTCAGTTAGGAACAGAAAAGACTAGGGTAGAATCTTTTTTCTCTTTTGCCTTCAAGACACAGCTCAACAAAGAAACATGTTTTTTTTTTGTGTGAGGTTTTTTTTTTTTTTGCAAGCTTTCTTAGCTTGTGCATTCAGACCAGACAGAACATGTAAATATTTATACACAGAGAGGTGGGGAAGGGGATGGTGATGCCCGCGGTTTCGGTGTGTGTCCTCCCCCCCTTCCTCTCTCTTTTTAGAAGTGCGGAGTGTTTTCGCCTCTTTCCCCACCGCCGCCCCGGCCCCTCCCGGGAACCCCTAGAGGGGGTGTCCTTTCTGTTTATCCTTCTCGTGGCCCCAGGCGGCCGTGCTCTCTGGGGGCGCAATGTGCGCGTGGTGGAGCCGGGTCCCCTCCAGCAAGGCGGGTGGCGCGCTACTCTGCTGGTGCTGGAAGGTGGCAGACCCGGGGTAGTGCCCGATGACCTCGCTGTAGGTGGGCGGCGGCCCCTCCATGCGCCCGCCGCCGCCGTAGCACGTGGCGCTGATGCCCGAGTTACTGCTGGGGGGACAGGGCCCTCCCAGCATGGCGCTGCCGAGCAGGTCGCTGTCGAAGATGGTTCTGTTCGGGGGCGCGCGCACCGACTCGCGGTTCAGCTCCAGCTGCTGCTCCGGGTCCCGCAGCTGGAGCGTGCAGGGGCCCTGGTAGGGGGGCGGCTCCTCGCCGTCAGACAGCGAGATGGTGGGCGGGAGGTCGATCTCGTGCGGCAGGTAGGGGTAGGTGGGCTGGAAGCGGTGGAAGCGGTCCCGCTGGGTGAAGGCAGGCACGGCCAGGCGGTCGGCGGGCCTCGGCGGGGCGTAGACCTGGGGCTGGAGGGGGCAGAGCACAGTGAGGGTCCCCGGAAGCAGGGCCCCGGGCAGGGATGGCTGCCTGGGACTCCGCTCCCTGTGGGAAGGGAGACCGGGACGCAGGGAGAGTGGGAAGGAGCTGTGCTCGGAGCCCAGCCTCCACCCGGGCCCCAGGGGAGCGCGGGCCTGTGACACCAGCGCGGAGCGGCAGAAGGGGCGGCCTTTGGCCTGCGGGAGGCAGACTCCAGGCCGCTTCCTGGAGGCAGCGAGTGCATCCTGTCCCAGCAGGGGGGATCCTGGCCGCCAAAAACATTTCTTCAGAGAAGCACCACGGAGTGAGCCCAGAGGTGGGAAAGGGACCCGCTGGCCAGGGGGCCTTGGGATCCACGAAAGCAGACTGGGGGCCTGGGGGCGGGGACTGGGGGGCAGCGCTGGGGCTCACCTCTGGGATTCCGCCGCCTGACACTGTGCTCTCTGAGGGCCAGAGGCATCCTTCCTGTGTGGGGAGAAGAGGGACAGGTCAGCGGGGCAGACGGAGTTGAGGGAGTCCAGGATCCCCCCGGCTCTGACCCTGAGATCTTCCATTTGGAATGAGTTCTCGCACCATCCCCTTCCCGCCATCCCCACCCCGCACTCCCCTGGCCCAGGCACTGGACCCCTTGAGCCGTGATCACCTGGCCTCATCACTGATCTCTGGGCTCCCACTCTGTCCCCCCAAAACACCCATCCACACTTTGCAAAACACACAGCGGATTCGTGGGCCCCTTCCCAGAGCCCTCCAGCTCGCCCTGTGGGCCCCAGAGTAAATCCGAAGTCAGCCACGAACCGGCCACAGAGAAAGCTGGGCCGGACCCAGCCCCCTGGCCTTGACCAGCCCCCCCCTTGCTGAGTCCCCCAGGCGAGTTACTGAGCCCCCGAACGGCAGGCGTGCAGCACGCACACCACTCGGGAGTGTGTGTGGCCCTCAGCGAGTCTGTGAAGGTGTCGGGGACCCTCACCTCCCTCCCCCCAGCCAGGCTGACCACCGTCCAGCGCTCGGAAGTGCAGAGTATGTCCGTCAGGGCCCCCCCAGGGCACGGCCACCCCCTTGTTTTGTTCATTCCAGGGTCCCCTGAGACTTTCTTTGACACCATTACCTAAAGGGCCCCTGAAAAAACCTGCCATCTAATTATTTCCTTCAAAAGAATCACCTTGTCTGCATGTGTGTTTAGTTCCTGACCCGCCTTGGCCTCCCTATTGGGAGCCCAGGCTATAGGTGAAGAAATGAGAGGTAACAAGCCCAGGGCCCCGCCTGGTCGCTCCGCCACCAAATGACTCAGTGAGTCCACAGAGGAGGCTGTGGCTCCAGGATCCGCGCCAAGCTCCGGGCCGGGGCAGGGCCTGCAGCTGCCACCCCCTGAAGCTTGGGCCCGGGCTTTGACATTCTGGGCGGGGCCTATAGCTCCGCGCTCCAGCTCCGCCCCCCCAAATGTAGGGGGCTGGCTCTGGCTCTGGACTGCAGAGTGCGCTGGGGCAGCCAGCTACGTAGAGGCACAGCCCAGTGTGAGTTCTCACCACGCTCCTGGCTCCCCCGCCCCTACTACCACCCGCCGGCATCGTCTGCCCCGCTCAGGCCCCCCTGACCTTGGCCTTGGGTGCCGGACAGAGCTTAGAGACAGTGAGCTCGCCCACAGAGGGGCCACGGGGCCAGGGAACAGCCTGCTCTGCCCACACTGGGGGCCCCAGATCCCACTGCGGCGGAAACTCCACTGCCTGAGGCTCCAAGGGCCTCTCTCAACCAAAGACCCCGGACCCTCCCTGTCTACTGAGATTCCCCCGTCACAGGGGGAGCCCTGGGGGTCAGGAAAGGGGGACCCCACGCCAGAATCGGTTCATGCGAGGGGGAGACCCGGCCACTGGGCCTGGAGGGCGGGATGTGTTCTCTTAAAAAATAAAATCAGCTTTATCGAGGTTTATCTGACAGATAACAAACTGCATGCACTCCAAGTATATAGCGTGGTTAAATTTTGGCATATGTTTGTACCAGGAACCCGTCTCACCGCAATCAAAATAACAAACGCATCCATCATCCCATTAATTTCCTTGGGAGTTCCCAGTTGAGGGTTCCCACCTGCCGTCTAAAAGAGAAATTGCCCAGAGGGCTGCAATTCCCTACATGGCCACTAGGGGAGCCCTGTGCCTCTCAAAAACGGTCCCAGCAGGGACACGCTGAACCAAGACAACGCACTGCAGTCCAGTATGTCCCAGGTGTGGGCGCGCGGAGAGCAGACACACACCGTTACTGTTCATATGGTCGTTAATATTAATAATGATGTATCGACTGCTGTCCTGGTGTCGGGCTGCGATAGGCTCTTCGAAGCACCATCTCCCTTCTCCCAATACACCACCGCTCCCAAGTGGATCCGGGAGGCCAGGGCAGGGGGGAGAACAGCCAAGGTGGCTTGGACGTCGTGGGGCCCAGATGGGCCCCGGCCTAAAACCCTGCGTCTGAGGTCCTGCGAGACGTGGCCACTGGAGCCTACCCCCGAGCCCCAGCTCAAGGGTTCTCCACTGGGTTACAAAGTAGCGCCGCCCAAGGAGGTTAAGAAAACACCAGTCAGGTCCTGGCAGGTGTGGCTCAGTGGGTTGGAGCATCGCCCCGCAAACTGAAAGGTGGAGGGTTCGATTCCAAGTCAGGGTACATGAGGGAGGCAACTGGTTGATGTTTCTCTCTCCCTCCCTCCCTCCCTTCCTCTGTCTCTGGATATATCCTCAGGTGAGAAGGAAGAAAATAAATAATTAATTTTAAAGGGACAGGAAAACACCAGTCAGTGCCTGGGGGGCCCCCACCATGGACCACAACCTGAGCGCCTCCAACCTGAGCACCTGGAGGTCACCTCCTCCAGGGAGACTTCCAGGAACCACCCACCAGGAACCATCCACCGGGCCAGACACTCCTCCGGAGGCTCCTGCAGCATCTGGGCTCCTCCATCAGCCTGGCCCCGCTCTACGAAGCTCCCTGTCCCGCTGGCCGCACTGCACTCGGTTAGAACCTGGTTAGAACCCGCCTGCCCGGAAGCCAGGTCTTAAGACACTTTGTTTCCAGCTCAGCAAGTGGCCCTGACATCCTCCCAGTGCACAGGCCAGACCCCCACGGTTGTTCCCGACAGCTCCTTCTTGCCCCTGCCCCTCCCTGACACTTCAGGCTCCACCTGGCTCCCTTTCTTTCTAGGCGCTTCCTTGCACTGAGCTCCTCCAGCCAGCCTCAGCTTCCCCAGGTAGACCAGTGGTCCGAAAACCGTTTCCTTAAAGGGCCAGAGAGTAAATTAGTGTCTCTGTGGGACAGACAGTAGGTTGCATCGCAACCGACGCTGCTGCTGATGGCAAATGCAGCCACCACAGACGAGACCGCAGGGATGGGCTTGGCTGTGCGCCAGCCAGGAAACACACGCCCAGGAAGTCGCTCCGATCGGGGGCCACGGCAGGACAGCCAGGCCAGGGGTGAGCCCAGCCCCCGGCCCACAGTGGCTGGGTCTGGGTCTGTCTGGGAGGTTTCCGGGCTCCGAGACTCCGCAGATGCACTCTGTCTGGCAGGGGGTCCCCAGGGGAGCTGCCATACTTACAAGGCTCTGTGCCTACCCAGCCAGGCATCCCCGGGGGCCTGTGCAGGTGGCTGGGTGGGGGAGGGGAAGGGGGGCCCCCCCGGCTTTCTTTTAGCCCCAGGTGCCCTGGAACCAGGGCCTGAACCCTAACCCGCTCTGGGCACAAAGCCCCAGGCGCTGTGCACCGAGCTCTCCAGCCCCCTGGAAGCAGGGGCATGGCCCACGGGAGCCTCTGCTGCACCTGCACCCCGACCCCACACTCCCATTGACCTCATCCTCCCAGGCCCATGCAATGGACTGCGGGGGGCGGCGGGAGACAGGCCAGCTCCACCCATTCTCCCGACGACGCTCACGGGAGGCTCAGAGGGGAAGGGGACCCCCCCGGAGCCCGTGCCACAGGGCCACCATCTTCCCCTTGGGTGTGGGCTCTCCAAACTGTCACCTAAAAGCTGGGTGGCCTCAGGCAAGTGTTCCCACCTCTCTGAGCCCGTTTCTCCTCTGTAAAACGGGGTTCCCGTGCTGCTGCAGGTGGGGGAGCTGGGGAGCGCGGGTGCAGCAGACGTGTGTGCATTGCTGCCGGCCGCACTGTTGTGGGGTAACAGCAGGGGCCACCGAACCCACGGCGGAGCCCCGGCCGGGGAAGCACAGATTCCTCCAGAGCAGCCGCGCCCTCAGGACACATGCTGGGTCTCGGGGGGGGGGCGCCCAGTGTTCCCGCCGGAGGGACCAGGGCAGCCACTCCAGGCCCCGGCAACCCGATGACATAACGAGGCCGCGGCCTGACGCCAGCGGAGATCCCGAGCCTGCCGGGACAGGCCTGCCGGCTGACTTGGCTCAGCCCTAAGCCCCGAGCACTGCCGACAACCACGTGTCCCCGGGAACAGAGAGGCCACACCTGGCGCTGCCTCCCGGGCCTGTCACTGTCCTCCCACAGGCTCAGAGATGTGCGCCGGCCCACGGCCCCGGGCCGCCCACCTGCCACCACCTCCCTCCTCAGAGCCCACCCGTGGGGCCTTAGCTTCTGTCTCAGGCTTTTACGCACCGAGTGGGGACTGACGCCCCAGGTCATGGGCCAGGGACTGGTCTGAGAGGGCACAGGGCCAGGACCAGTAGAGCTGGGATCAAACTCGGCCCCAGGAAGGGCCCCCCCCGCCCCCCCGTGACCTGCCGCCTCCAAGGCCTGAGTCCCTGGCCCAGAGCATGCAGGGCACTGGCTCCAGGGAAAGCCGCCCGCCCCCACGCCCCGCGTCTGGGTCACCTCTGCAGGACCGGGCACCTCTCCCACAACCCGGTCCGGTCAGGCCTCTGTCTGGACCTGGCACCGTGCCCCCCCAGGGCCTGGGAGCACCCCGGGAGCGTCCCGAGGTGAGGACGGGCACTCACCGAGGACAGGGCGTCTTCCCTCCTCCGGCCCTGGCTGTGCCGGCCGATGAAGGAGCGCGCGGACAGCTTGTAGTGGCTCAGCAGGCAGGTGATCACCACCACCATCACCATCACCACCACCACGATGATGGTGATCTCCACGAACTCCAGCTCCGCTGCAAGGCCAAGGACACGCGTGAGACCTCGGGGACCTGGTGAGCCCGGGGCTCGGCGGTCTCCCGGCCCCTGCGCTCCCGATACCCCTCTTCATGCCCCAACACACACGCAGGTAATGCAGATACAGCCACGCCACACACACACACACACACACACACACACACACACACGCCCTCTGGTGAGGAGGCTCAGAAAAGCGCCAGTCCCGGGGGCTGTGGGGGCTGCGATTCTAATTCCTCGTTTCTGGTTTGGTTTGGTTTCTCTCCCCGGAAGTGGAAACACTCTCAAGAGAAAGAGGATTTTGATCCTGCTGGAGCCAGGGGCGTCTCGGCTGACTTGGCCCCCCACCCCACCCCACCCCACCCCCACCCCGCAGCAGTTGCCAGGCCCTCCCAGCCCAAAGCTGGCCAACAGCCCAAGGGGCAGAGCTCTCTTCTCGGCAAGCAGGGGAATGCACCGCCCCCACCCAGATGGGGCGGGGGGCAGGGAGACGCCCCGGTGCCACTGGGCACCGATGAGCCACTCGCTGAGGGCCCCCAGGGCTCAGGCCCAAGGTCACAGCCCCTGGACTCAGGTCCTCCCCCTCCGAGGAACGCAGAGCCGGAGGGTTGAGGACCGGCTGCAGGTGAGGTCTGGCCGAGTCAGGGCCCTGCCCTCCCGCGCTGCGTCCCCCAAACTCCAGACCCTGCGGGGCTGGCCCCTCCCACCTCTGGCCTCAGTTTCCCCAGGGCTTCCAGTGGGAAAGCAACACCCCCCAGGTGACCACTGCTCCGTCGGCCCAGCCACGGAAGCTTCTCCACACAGGCTCCACGTGCCCCAGGGGGCCTGACCCCTTCGTCCGTCCCCCCCGGCTGTCCAGGACACCCCCCTTCTCACGACACATAATCCGTCTGCCCCGCTGCGCCAAGTGTACTTGGCACCATTAGTAGGTCAGGCAAGTCTGCCCCTCAGGGGACATGTGGCAATATCTGGGGACATGAGTGGCTGTCACAACCAGGGGCGCTCCCGGTGTCCATGGGCAGGGGCCTCCCGTGCACACAGGATGTCCCCGCACAAAGAACGGTCTGGTCAACAGTGGCGCAGCCGAGTGCCTCTGTGCGGGGCCGAGCGTGCGTCCGGGGCCCATCTGCCATCTCATCTCAGGGGCCAAGTGACCGACTCGGGGATGGAGCCCAAGGGCCGGAAGCCGGTGGCCTCTCCCACCTGGCCATCCACTGGCCCCAGGAACTCGGTCTGGACCCTGGGCCTTGGCTCTGGCCCACAGGTGGGACTGTGTCTCCGTTTCGCCCTGGAGAGGTCAGGAGGGAAGAGGAACTGGCCAGGGACGCTGGTAACACTCTGAGCCTGGAGAAAGTGGGGCCCCGCCCGGCAGGACCTCGGCGAACCTCCACCGCCAGGGAGACAGCGTCACTTTCCCGCCGGGAGGGCGGCCTGGGTGGGCAAAGGCCAGGCCTCGGCCTCACCCCAGTAATGGCGACCACACCTCCCGCCTCCCCAGGCAGACGGGTCCGGGGCCTGGCAGCCTGGCGTGATGCTGCAGGGTCCAGGTCCTGCCCGTGAGGACCCGGGATACAGCCACCCACTCAGGGGACACACAGGCCTGCTTTGTGCAAAACCCACGGCCTCCCGCCGCAGAGGGGACAGCAACCCCTCCCCCAGCCCGGCGCACTCTTCACCCCAGCCGTACCCTGGCGGTGGGCGCCCTGAGGCCCCTCCCCCGCTGTCTCTGGGGCCCTGCTGGTGCTGGGCCTGGGAGGAGGGAGGGCGGGCTGTGGGGCGCTTTGTCCCCGTCCCAGTGGCCTGCAGGGCCCACGCCAGGCTGTGCTCTTTTCCTGGTGCCGTCTGCGTCCAGATGGTGGCTACGGCCGAACCCGAGAGGCTGTGGGGGCCACCAGGGGCCCCGGAAGAGCTCCAGCCGACCCGGTGGCTGTGAAGAAACCTCCCACAGCTCCACGGACCGGCTGAGGGGGGCCCAGAGGGCAGGAGGGTCTGGTTTCTGGGGTCCAGGGTCCAGAGTGAAGGAATCGCCCCCAGAAATGAGCACAGGGCTCCTGGCAGCGCCGCTGTGCCCACCAGGGTCCCCGGCCCACACTCTGCTCCACGCAGGCGCTGCTGGTTGAAAGCCCAGCGGGCCAACAGGGCGGCACCACAGGCAGGCCACCCCGTGGGACCCCGAGGGACCCCGCCTCCCCGGAACCCAGAGGCTGGCCACTGCGAAGCTGCCTGGCCTCTGACGCCGGCAACATGTCTGAGAGTTTTAAAGCACTGGGTGGAGGCTTTGGGACTTCTGGCCAAGAGAGGAGCCCCAGGCCACTCAGCTGCTGATGGCAGAGGCGGACCCTGCCATGAAGCCAAGCACCCTGTATGGTACAAGCAGAGGTGGATCCTGCCACTGGGCCCCTTCCCTGGCCTTAGTCCCCAGACCACGGGTGACCACAGGACTCACGACCCAGCGCTGGCCCAGCTTTGCACTCTCTTCACCAGAGCCATGAAGTGGGCGCCATCACCCCCCCCCCCCACACACACACCCAATTTGCAGGCCAGCAAACTGAGGCTTGGGAAGCAGCTGCCTTAGGTCACACCCAGAAAAGCGGGGCCTGTTCTGCTGAATTCTCCCGGCCCCCCCGAAGGATGGGTGAGCTCCCCTTCCCCACGCCCGAGCACCTCTGAGGGCTCCCAGTCCCGCCCCCTGCACCTGCCAGCAAGGTGGCACCTGCCACCTCTGGGAGCGCCCGCTACCACCTGTAAAGAGCTCGGGACAGGACAGGAAGCAGCGGGTGCTCCACCATCACTGCTGTCACAGTGGGGACGAGTGGCACCCCTCATCCCGGCCGATGCCCTGGACACATTGGGCGTGTGTGCCCTGCTGGCTCTGTCCCTGGGCTGGGGGCTTGGGGCACGGCCATCCAAAAGGGTCACCGGGGTGGCAGCTGGATCCGAGGCCACCAGGGACTTCCGACCGCTGATCTCTTCTCTGAGGATGCAGCTACGGGAACGGAGCCTTTGGGAAGGAAAACCCCTTTCCCCTCGTTTTGTTCTGGGGTCAAGTCTGCTTGCCGTGGGGAGGGCTGGAGAGCAGCCCTGTCAGTGTCCTCGGTGACCGCCCCCTCGGGGTGGGCGACAGACGCGACGGGCTCTGGGGGGACGGCGCCCATCTTCCGCGGGCAAAGGAAGGTCCCTCTAATATAATTCAGTGTCCTCTTTCCCCGCGAATAATTTCAAACCAACAGGTGGCCCCGCCCCATCGGAGCGGCCTGACTCTCGCCGACACAGCCTCGGCCACTCTGAGACGTGTGCACACGGCCCCGGTCCCCTACGCGCCAGGTACGGCCCAGGACGCCGAATCCACACTGTCACTCCGAGACGCAGACACGAACGTGACCTCTCAGCCCCTCTACAGACGAGGAAACTGAGGCTGAGAGAAGTGAGGGGATTCGCTGACGGCCATGGAGCCCAGGGGTGCTGCTCCACACCCCATGGTCCTTGGAACCCTGGCTCCAGAAGGTCGGACACAGCACAGGTTCCAGCCAAGGGCTCGTGTTCAGGGGACTGGTGGCCAGGCGGGAACACCGTCCACCACGGGGCCCGTGCAGCCAGTCCCTGAGGCCAGTGGTGCCCGTGTCTCCGGCCGACGCAGAGGAAAATCACAGGACAGAGCGGAAGGAACCTCTAGACAGAGCCCCAGGGGGGCTGTGGGCACTGCCCATGGCACGGTGCACACTCACGAACAGCTGGACACTCCTCTGCCACCAGCACCTGTGGCCAAGCACCCCTCCAGGACAGGAGCTCCCCGCTGGTCCCCACGCCGGCCCTGGGGTGCAGCGCGGGCCCCCACACGGCCAGGAGCCGAGTCAGGGAGCGGTCCCGAACCCACGGTTTCCAAGGGAGCCAGATGCGCTCCCAGAACACAGTCTTGAGAATTAAATGACAACTGTGGCTTGAAAAGGAGCTAATTACGGCACTTCAAGAGCGATGGAACGCTCCACCAGACCTGTGATACGGGAAGAACACGCAGGATTACATCCGAGACACGGCGATCCGACCGCACTAAATGCGACCTGGCAGGTCTCCACGGGACGCGAGGCCTGCGGTTTCCACCGGCGACCGCAGCGCAGGTGCTGCCGCCTCTGCCGCCGCCCAGAGTCAGCTCAGCGACGGGAGAGACGGGGTCCTTTTGACTCCAGGCTCACGCTGCCCCCAACCCCCTTCTTGGTGACAGAGCCGCCACCCGAACCGGTGCAGGAGTCCCAGCTGCGAGCAGGGAGGTGGCTGGTGGAGAATTCGCTAATATGCGCAAAGCCCAGGCCTGAGGGACAGTGGCCTCAGGTTCTCTGCTGCATGATTCGGGGCGGGGGCAGTGGGGACCTGGGCCAGAGCTCACCTGGCTCCTGCCAGCCCGCAGGAGGTTTCCAGACCAGACGGCCCCCCCACCCTCACCCCCCAGGGCCTGCCCCGGCTGTGGCGGGGCGGCCGGCAATGCCTCCCGGTAAACGAGCAGCCTGTGCAGGCTGCCCTGTCTGGCCCCCCGGCCGCACGCCGAGGAATTAGGAATCGGCACTGTCTGAAATTTATGAAAATCTGGTCTCGTTAGGCCTGCGTGGATGCACCCCACCAGGGCCGGCCTCATTGTCATTCCGCGGAGCCCCCGCCTGCCTGGGGTTCCAGCCACCGCATGTACTCCCCCTCCTCCTGCCCCCTCCCCTCCCCCCCCACTGCATTTGAATGAGAGCCCAGCTCCCCCACCCCCACCCCCAGATTTTCAAACCAGATGGACCCAGACAACTTTCTGATGGCTCCTGGTGCCCTTTCAAACACCCCCCTGTGGGCACACTCATTTCTTCGGGTAACGGGACCGTTTACGGGTTAAAAACCACGGGGGTCTTCCCCTGGAGGTGTGGGGGTGGGCGGCAAGCCGGGGCCCTCTCCTCGGCTTTGAAAGCAGACCGTGCTGCTGCGTATTCAGAGGGTGCAGGTTAGGGACGTGAGGTTTGCCTCCGAT